CACCAACTCCCCATCCTACCCCCCATCCACTCCCTCCACTCCCCAGGGAGGGTGAGGTCTCCCATGGGGGATCATCAAAGTTTATCACATCATTTGGGGCAGGACCTAGGCCCTCCCCCATGTATGTAGGCTGAGAGAGTATCCCTCCAAAGGGAATGGGCTCCCAAAGTCCTTACACTAGGGATAAATACTGCTTCCACTGTCAGAGGTCCCATAGACTGCCCAGGCCTCCTAACTGACACCCACGTTCAGGGGGCTTGGTTGAGTCCTATGCTGCTTTCTGAGCTGTCATTCTAGGATCTGTGAGCCCTCCATTGTTCAGGTCAGCTGTTTCTGTGGGTTTCCCCAGCATGGTCTTGACCCCTTTGCTCCTCCCTCTCTACAACTGGATTCCAGGAGTTCAGCTCAGTGCTTAGCTGTGGATCTTTGCTTCTGTTTCCATCATCTACTGGATGAAGACTCTATGATGACATATAAGGTAGTCATCAATCTCATTACAGGGGAGAGCATTTAAGTTAGCCTCTCCACTGTTGCTTAGATTCTTAGTTGGTGTCATCCTTGTAGATCCCTGGACATTTCCCTAGTGCCAGAGTTCTCTTTATACCCATAATGGCTCCCTCTATTAAGGTATCTCTTATTTTGCTCTCCTTCTCTGTTCTTTGTTCTTCCCTCACCTTGATCTTCCTAATCCCTCGTGTTCTTCTCCCCCCTCCCCTTCCTCCTGCCTCCCCCTGTCCAGCTGTCTCTTTCCCTTTCTCTGGGTATTGAAGTATGTCTCTCTTAGGTTCCTCCTTGCTTCAATTGCAGATAGATCCATATCATCACCATGCACAAAACTTAAGTCCAAATGTATCAAAGAACTCAACATAAATCCAGCCACACTGAACCTCTTTGAAAAGAAAGTGGGAAGTACCCTTGAATGAATTGGTACAGGAGACTGCTTCCTGAACAGACACTGAGATCGACAATTAATAAATGGGACCTTCTGAAACTGAGAAGCTTTTTTAAGGCAAAGGACACAGTCGACAAGACAAAACGGCAGCCCAGAGATATTCACTAACCCCACATCTGACAAACGGCTGATTTCCAAAATATATAAAGAACTTAAAAAGCTAGTCACCAAAACACCAAGTATCCAATTAAAAAGTGGGGTGCAGAACTAAATAGAGAATTCTGAATAGAGGAATCTAAAATGGCTGAAAGACACTTAAGAAAGTACCCAACATCCTTAGCCATCAGGGAAATGCAATTTTTAGATACCATCTTACACCTGTCAAAATGGCTAAAATAAAAACACCAATGACAGTTTGTGCTGGAGAGGATGTGGAGAAAAGGGAACACTTCTCCATTGCTGATGGGAGTGCAAGCTAGTACAGCCACTTCGGAAATCAGTATGGCAGTTTCTCAGGAAAATGGGAATTAGTCTACATTAAGATCCAGCAATTCCACTCTTAGGCATATACCCAAAAGATGCCCATTCATACAACAAGGACTTCTTTTCAACTCTTAGCAGAATTATTTGTAATAGAACCTGGAAGCAACCTAGATAGCCCTAAACTGAAGAATGGATAAAGAAAATGTGGTACATTTGTACAATGGAGTACTACTCAGTGGGGAAAAAAACAGTGAAATACTGAAATTCACAGGCAAATGGATGGAACTAGAAGAAATCATACTGAATGAGGTAACCCAGACCCAGAAAGACAAACATAGTATGCACCCACTCATATATGGATATTAGACATAGAGCAAAGGATAACCAGCCTACAATTCATACTGTGCTGATTCTATGAGCAGAAAAAAAAAACCAAAGATTATCTTGAAGAATGAGAAAAAATCATTTTGAAACCTCTAAGAAAGGGCTTTTTTCCCTAACAAAAGCAAACAATGAATAATAATAAAAATGTTGTGAGTGTAAGGGTGGTAGCTAGGGAAAATTAAAGATTGCAATATGTGTTTAATGAGAATGAAAATGTTGGGAGACTGGCTGTATAATTAGGTGAATATACTTGACACTACTGGCCTACTGTAACTTTAGAAATGGCTAAGATAATAAAAATTATGGTGTGTATTTTACCAAATCAGAAACAAACAAATGAGCTGGGGATGTAGTTCATTGACACAGGGTTCCATCCTAAGCATAAATCAGGAGTGGTGGCAAATGCATGTAATATCAGCACTTGGGAGATGGAGGCAAAGGCTGAGTTCAACGTCATCCTCCAAGCCATACTGAGTGAGACCCTGTCTCAGAACAAGATGCAAAACTCCACACAAATCTAATTGTAGTATAAAGGGCCGAGAGTAATGGGAGCAGTCTAAGTTGAAGCTTTATCACCTCAAGTCAAATGTATGTAAACCAAACCTTCCTGAATTTACCAGAAGTTTTAATTCCTGTCTATTTGAACCCAAATTATCACACATTTCTCCAAACTTGCTAAAATGTAGCTATGAAACAACTTAATCTCAATTTTTACACTGATATATTTGGTCTTGCACATTTCTAAATAGAAACATGCCTAAAAATTATGAAAACGTTAATTATTTTGACAAATGATGTGGTCTTTAATTTGGACAATATAACAGCTTCACTGTACAGTTGAATGGAGGACTAACATTCATTGAAATGCAAATAAAGAAGATAAGGCATAGATTAATTCTTTTCAATTTTATTATTTTTATGTGAGTTGATTCATTGCCTGCACATATGTCTTTGTGAGGGTATCAGATCCCCTGGAACTGGAGTTACAGAGAGTTGTCAGCTGCTGTGTGAGTGCTGGGAATTGAACCTGGGTCCTTTTTTTCTTTTGGAAGAGCAGCCAGTGCTCTTAACCACTGAGCCATCTCTCCAGTCCCCTAGATTAATTATTTTCACTAAGGAGTGCTGGCTGTCCAGAAGACATTTGGCAATGTTTTGTGGTGTTTTTAGTTATCATAACTGACGTGTAGGAAGTGCTACCCAACATAACCATAGTTTAGAGTGTTACTAAATATCCTAGTGGCAGATCATTGCCACAAAAAATAATCTACCTGCAAAGGTCATCAGCATCAACTTTTAGAAATCCTAGGCCAGAATCTTCTCAAGCTTGGCAGCAGCTTTTCCTCCATTTGCATCACACAAAAAACAAAAGACCCAGAGACAGATATTGGAGTTCAACCTGAAGATCAGGGAAGTAAAGCAGCCAAGCTACCAGAGAGCTCTTACCTCTAACAGGGCTGGGGTGTTCCTATTCTTAACATAGCTGGAGAATAAATGCCTGATACTGACTCCTGAAGACACTGCTCCTCTCTTTTATATCCCTCTAGTGCTGGGATTAAAGGAATGTGATCATCTTTGTGTGAGCTGTTTCTCTATAGGGCTGGATCAATCTTGTGTAGATCTGGGTGGCCTTGGACTCACAGACATCCTTCCACCTCTTAATCCTGAGACCTAGGATTAAAGGTGTGTACCACTACCTCCTGATTTCTGGCTGCTGAAATTAAAAGTGTGTGTACCATTGGCTGATCACTATAGCTTGAGGATGACTTTGCTTTTCTGAATCCCAGGCAAGCTTTAATAAATCATAACTAATGTATCACCACATCCATCTGCCATTAAATTCCATTTTCAGCCAGTTCTAGTTTCTCTTGAGATAGCACCCACACCCATAACTTCAGTATTACTTCTATGATGTTGACTCTTATATCATTACATTTTGGTACAAATATTCTGGTTCTAACCCATTCTCTATTTCAATATCCCTTCACGTTTTTATTAAGATTTTCTGTTTTCATCTGTAGCAATTGACATGGCTATCTATAGTTATAGGACTGAATTGGGGGGCATATTGGAGGTAGGAAAGGCAAAAAAGGGAAATGATGACATTAGATTTTAATTTCAGTTTTTTTTAATTGAAAAACAAAACAGGACCATTGAGTTTTACCAAATATCTATTGGTACCTAATTTATGTAACAGGCTGTATAGAGTGTTTGGAGGAAGGTAGCTATCTTGGAGGTGTGAGGTAACTATGGCAGTAAGTGCTTTAAATGGGTTATCCTTAATATGGTATCATTTTGCACATAAATTATCACAGCTGGAAAACAAATTGCAATAATTTAATTAATTAAAAACTACAGAGCTTGTAAAAAGAACAGTTTGTTAAAAGGGAGTGCTTATGACATTATGGATTGAAACTTTTCCATTAGAAAACAATGAGGGCAGTAGTGGGAAAGTGTGGTTTAGTTTGTGAACAGGGAACGTGATATAGATATTAAGGTTATTTAGTGATGAAGATTAAAGAAACTCAGAAGCCTTTTCTCAGTTTTCTCGCACCTTCTGGTTACTGTTTCTGTTTCCTTACCATATAACACAGAATATAATAACATACCACAATAGTAAGATGAGTCATTGTTTTCCATAGCCTTAAGAAAGAAATAAAACGTTGCCAGTTAAACATGGAGTGCCACCAGTTGTCTTTTTTCAGAGAAATCTTGTATGTTGGAATGAGAAAAAAAATACGAGTTTTCAAAGATGCCAAAAATGTAAAAATACTAAGGAAACACAGTGGTCCTGGGTTGTGTGATACATGATGAATTTATTGTGCATCCATTTCCACAATCGGCTTGCAATTTAACGCTGCAGTCAATTAGACAACGTGTTTATACAAAGCTTTTTAGATGGTTGTATCTGCTTTCATGGCTCTGTGATGTGCGTATGCAAGTGCACTGTAAAACGCTTAATTCCTTTGGTTACAGCACCCCCGCGACCCTCCCACACACCCATTCATTAAGACATGGCCTGTTGGCAAGTTACAGGCAAATTGACATTTTTAAAATTAAACTGTATAAAACTCTCCCTGCAGTTAATTAAACTGTGAGAGAGATGTGCTATGGGAAAGCGTTTTATTAAATGTGCACTTTTTTTTTGCATTCCATTCTCGTAGAAAGGTTAAAATGGGATGGGGAACGGAGCGCTGTGGAGGCGGAGAAGGGATATACGTCTCAGGATACAGGAAATACGGTAACTGCGAAACCAGGAGGAAGCCAGCCCCGTGCCTGGAGGGGATCCGCCATCTCAGATCTCTCGGCCTTGCCAGGGCCCACCAGAGAAGACTGACGCTCTGGTCCGGCCATACCTATGGGGGACCAACCTTGTGCCTCCGGGAGATCCACGCTCCCACCAGGAAATACGCGGGAACCCAAGCCTCCAAAAAAGCGCTGTCTCCTGGCTCCACGGTGGGATTATCCAGAAGGGACTCCCAGTGGAGGTAGTACCACTCTCCCCTCGGCGCCTCCTCCTGCATCTACTGGACTGAAGTCTCACCCTCCTCCGCCGGAGAAGTAGTGAAATAGCTTTTTTCGCAGCCTAAATCAGGTCAGATACTTTCTTTCTCATCTGGGACATCCAGGCTCTCTGAAACTTAATTATGCTTTTTCCCAGCCCCCCTTCCTGTTCTTTCCACAAATTCAAAAAAGAGGAGAAACAACATACAGGCGTTGAACTGCTCTTTTACAAAGTATGCCTGGATGAAATGGGTATTTGATTGCATTCAGTAATTAAGATATTTTACATGAGATAATTGTACTCTTTTAAAATAAACTGCAGTGTTTTGATTTTCGTGACAGGCCAAGGTGTAGGGAGGTACTAACAAAATGTTCACTGGTTGATAAATTAAAATTGGATGGGGATTTACTATACTGTTCTCTGTACTTTTGTGTATATTGGAAATTTTTTTCCATTTAAAAATGCTTCGTTCAAGACCAAGATGTGCCTAAGGCCTAATGCCTGTGCCCAGAGGGGATTGTAAGGTGAGAGCTTTGAGAACTAGGGTTTTTTTTTTATGTGTAAAATGGGTTTGAATAAATGAAAACAAAAGTTACAGGATGATGATCAAACTCAAGTACCATAAAAATGTGCTTGTTCAAGGTATTCAGGAATCATGGATGAACGAGGTCACTGCCCGTTACTAATGACAGCCATCAAAGAGGAAGGGAGAACTTTGGGTGTGCCATACGAGATGGAATGGTTTTCTAGGCCTAGTGTTTCCAGAATGAAAGCCCAAGGGCAGGCTTGTTCTGAGGCATCTGGTCTGTAATTCTCTGTCTGTGAAAGAGATGGGCTACAGGCTTGTAGGCCTTGACGGTTTGCTAAGGAGTGCGCAGTTTATTCTCGAAGCATGAATCCCATTGGCGATTTCCAACCAAGCGCTGTTTCTTGTTTCAAGACACTAATTCTTCCTTTCAGGAAACAATAGCCTGTTTAAATGAGCCTTATAGTCTGTGAAAAAAGAAAACAACCAAGTTTCAGTCAAGTCTCATAATGCCTTCTTCATCTCACACCTTTATGCAGTCGTTGGGGTGGTTAGGCCTTCCTTGCACAGGGAGACGTGGAAGCAGATGACTAAGGCACAGTGGCTGTTGCGCAGCAGGAGTAATAGACATTTGAGCAAGTCATGAATAACGTTGGCAACCGTGGGTCTTCTGGGTATCAGGTTTGTTGCTAAAGCATAAAAAGGGAAGGAGTTCCATTTCACCTAAAAGCAGTTGATTGTTATTCCATAGGCCCTTCCTCCACTCCACACTTTTTTTTAACCTCTATTCAAAGGCAAAATGTGGTAATGCAGGCTTTAGGGAGTGAAATGCTCACCTAGAAAACAAAGGAAGCTATTCAGGGCAAGAAATGTGTAGGAGCTGCCTAATTTCTCCCCAGTGACTTAAATCGTAGACAATTGTAATGGCAAGTAGTGAATTTTTTTTTCTGTGTGTGTACACCACATTTTTTTCCAAAGGGTTTTGCATGTTTGAGGTTAATCACAGATTCACCAAAGGATGTTTGTCTAGGCCAATAAGTTCTTGTGTTACTACAAGTTGTGTCCATGTTGAGATGTGATTAAAGAGAAAAATGCTTGGTTCCAGAGATATGATGCAGTGAGCTGCTGTGCAGAACATACCTCCTCATACTGTGTACCCAACTATTCAATAGGAATGCGCCATGGAATTGGGAGCTGACAGGAATGTAAGGAACATGAGTCAGACTGCATGTGACAGATGGAATGACTTCACCTTGCTTTATTGTTTTTCAGTCTTTGAAAGATTGCAGTATGACTCCATTTCCTTGGTGCATTTGTAAAATAGTTCACCCATTGAAGACCATGAAGACTCTTTCCAATGCTACCCTGCTTTTGCTGGTGTCCCGCACCTGGAAGTTGTGATGCTCAAGGTAATCTTTTTTGTTTTGTTTTATTTTTTTTACTAAAAATGCATGTAAAGGAAGAAGAAAGGAACTGATTATGGCATGTTCAAAATAACTGGACAAAACCCAAGAAGCTAGCATTAGTCATAAAATTGAAACATTTTTTGTATTCTATGAAATGATATGCACCAAGAAATACCCACATAAATCTGCAAGGCTTTAGTAAATTTACTGCTGATTGCTTTATAGTTTCTGTTGTTACTTCCAAGTGAGTCTTTTTAAACCCCATTTTCTAATTGTTGCTAGTAAAGGAGAAAATGACTGGTACTTTTGTATTGATTTTATAACATGCATCCTTTCTGAATTATATTTTTCTAGTAATTTATAGGTTATCTTGGGCTATTTTTAAATTATATTGTATTGGCACTGTCTTCTTTACCAGTACATATTTTTTAGTTTGTCCAAGAAAATTGGTGTTTTTTTTTTCTTTTTTGTGTTTTGAGACAGGGTTTCTCTGTGTGGCAGTCCTGGCTGTCCTGGAACTCACTCTGTAGACCAGGCTGGCCTTGAACTCACAGAGATCTTCTTGTCTCTGCCTTCTGAGTACTGGGATTAAAGGCGTGGACCACCACCGCCCAGCCAAAAATTAGTATTCATAGTTTGCTGAGAGGATTTATTGTGAATGGATATGGAGGTTTTTTCCACCAAATATTTTGTCTGTATCTACTCACATAAGCATATTTTCCCCATTCATATGACAACATGAGAATGTGATAAGTTACAATAATTTTAATGAATTTTCTTATTTTGGTTTTAACAAGTCTTCATTTTTTGGGAGGTTGGGATAGGACAGAGATTAGTCTCTTGTATTGGTCTTCAGGAATCATCCACTTTTTTGTCTTTTGTTTATTTTGTTTTGTTTTTTGAGACAAGAGCTGTTACCGAGACCTGATGAGGATAGGCTGGCTGGCTAGTGAGCCCAGGTGATCAGGAGCCCAGTGAGCCCGGGTGATCACTGTCTCCACCTCCCCAGCACTGGGGTTGCATAGCCTGGCTACCACACCCAGCTTTTACTTAGGTGCTAGAGATAAAATTTATTTAGGTCTTTGTGCTTGAATATCAAGCAGTTTGCTTACAGAGCCATCTCTCCAGCCCTGTTTTCTCTTTTAATTACCTTATCTATATTTCTTTTTTGTTCGTTTTTCTAATTCAGTGAATTGGACTCTAGCTTATTAATATTTCTTTTCGAAAATAAAAAGTTAAAACTACGAATTATTCTCTACCAGTTTGTAAGAATTTCAGTTTTATGTATATTACTTTGTTATTATACTTAAACAATTATCGATTTATAATGTTTCTGGTGATTTTTTAATTTGGCCATTTTATATGTATGTGTGTTTTGCCTGCATGTATGTATATACCACGTATATGCTTGGTGCCTTTGGATGTCAGAAGAGAACATCAGATTCTCTGGAACTGGAGTTTTAGATGGCTGCAAGTTGCCACATGGGTGATGGGAACTGTGCCCCATCCTCTACAAGAACAACAAGTGCTCTTAACTGCTGAGCCATCTCTCCAGCCCCAGCCTATGGCATTTTATTTTTGTTTTATAGATTTTCAGTTATTCATGCATTATTTTAAAAAATTGTATTATGAAGCCATTAACCAAGCTACAAATTAAATTTTATTTTCTCCCACTTTAAAGTATTTTTAATCCTTCTTGAAACAAAAACAAAAAAGAAATTTTTATACATGCTGTGCATCTCAATAGAATTTGGTAATATAAAACTTTTTTTGCCAGGTATGGTGGTGCATACCTTTAATTCCAGTACCCAGGAGGCAGAGACAGGTGGATCTCTATGAGTTTGAGGCAAGTCTAGTCTATATAGTGAGTCAGGCCAGCCTGGGCTGTATAGTGACACCTTGTCTACAAACAAAACAAAAACTGAAATCTTTTTTTCTTTCATAAATATAAAGATCATGGTTAGGATGTTTATTAATATTTAAATCCATGGTTAAACTGTGAGGATATTATAGAAAACCTCCCATACACTTATCCACATTTATCAACTATTTATTTTGCCACATTTGCTCTCCCATTCTCTTTCATTCTGCCATTTCAAAAGGAATTTTCAGCTGTATTTCTGCTTTACTTCTTAATACTTCACTGTGTTTACTTGAACTACATACTTCCTCATACATTTTCTGTTTCCTTTTCTTGGCTGAAGCTGCAATCCAGGATGATGTATTGCACCTTGTGTGTGTGTGTGTGTGTGTGTGTGTGTGTGTGTGTGTGTGTGTTTCTAGTCTTTGATCAGGAAGTTTCTTGAATTTCTTCAATCTTCTTTGTTTTTGTTGCCATTGACAATTTCTCAAAATAGACAATTGTTTTGTAGAACACTCCTCAATTTAGATGTGTGTATCATTTCCTCCTCTTTATATTTTGATGATGTATGTTGGCAGGAAGACCACAGAATTCTTATTAAGTTTTTCTCTGGACATCATATTCCTAGATTGCTCATGATGCAGATGTCATATCAACATTGACTTCTTGGTTAAGTCACTAGGATTTTGTTAGATTAACCCATTGTTTTCTCTTTACAGTCAATAATTTTGCTGTGAATACTTGGAGATTGTGTAACATTTCTGTTTCTCATCAAACTGTCTTCTAGTAGTTTTTACATCAGTTGATTATTCTTGACTGAGTGTTTTTACTATGGTGATTATAGAGTAATAAATTTCAAATTTCAATCTCCATCATTTTTACTGCATTCCATAACTTATATTCTACTTGAAGAGAACACTTTCTTCCATTTGTTAATTATATTTAGACACCTAAATTTTGTATTATTTCATAAATAGCCTGTTGGTATCATAATTATTTTATTCAGTTTGTCTTTGTTATCCTTTGGCATGTTCACCATTCTTTGACAGATATTTATACTTATTTTAACATTTCTTTTCTTCCTTACTTTTAGGCTCATCTCATATTTTCTACCCCATTGACCATTTCTCTATTTGGCTGTGCTACTGGGAGATCATATTTACAAACTGAGGTGTGGATCTATGGATCTTTTTTTATCTTGTTATTTTACATTTAATTTCAGAACATTGTTTCATATTTGCTGAAATTTGCCTTATGTCTTAGAGAACATAATGATTACTGTTTCTCATGTGTTTGTTAAAGGTTTGTATATCCCACCAGTTGTATATGAGGGTCTTTAAGTATCTGTTAAATGTGTTATGTTGTACAAATCTTCTATATCCCTAGTAAAGTCTAGGATACATCTTTTATCATTTTTATGACCCTTTTCTTAAATCTTTCCTTAAAATCTATTTTGTTTGCTATTAATATAGATAGTTACATCAAGATTCCATTGTGGTGATGGTATTTCTTTTTCCATTTTTTAATCTACTCATTTTTCTTTTGAGACAGGGCCTCTCTATGTAGCTCTGGATGGCTTGGAACTAACAGAGATCCTCATTCCTCTGCCTTGTGAATGCTGGGATTAAAGGCATGTGCCACCATGCTCTACATCCCTCCATTTTTACTGTATATTGTGTTTTCTTGAGTTTTTTAGTTTATTGTGAATTTAGGGCTCAAAACAACTTTACTCTATTACACTGCTGTGGATGAGAAGGCTTGTGTAAGTTTCATCTGATTAAATCAAAGTGCTGGCCAGCTGTACTCCTTCTCAGAGGCTCTAGAAGAGAATTTGTTCTCTGCTCCTTAGGTTGTTGGTAGAATTGAGTTTCTTACAATGGTAAGAGTAAGACCCCCATTTTCTTGATGGATGGCAGCTGATAGGTGTTCCCAGCTTTTACAAGCTCTTCATTTGTGATCCTCTTTCATTGTCTTCAAAACCAACTGTAAGTTAAGTCCCTCTCACTTACAATTTCTCCATTTCCTATTCTCATCCACCCTCTCTCTGACTCAGGTAGGAAAATGATTTCTCTGTTTAAATATATATTCAGTCAGAGTATGCCACTTAGTTAATCCAGAGGAAATTCTTCTGTCTTGAAATCCATAACCGAATTACATCAGCAGAGTTCTTTTACTTTGTAAAGTGGTGTAGTCACCAGTCCTGGGAATTGATGTGAAGTCCTTTATGTACCTATTATTCTGCTTTCCACACATTCCATTGTAGCAGCTAACCATAACCATAACTCAGTGTTTGATAATCCATTCTTTCATTCAACCAGCAGAAATATTTTCAAAAACATATATTAAAGCAAACATCTGTTATATTACAGACATTGTACCAGGTGCCCATACTGCAAAAATAAGATGTCTAACTCACCCACTAAAGACATAAACCAGTTTGGTAAGTTCTGTAGGAATTAGCACGTAATGCTGTGTAAGAGAATGAAAAAGGCTGTACTGCCTAGATTAGAAGTACCAAGATGGATTTTTGTATGGATCAATGTCTATGCTGAGTCTTAAAAAGTACTCTTGGGTATTAAGGGTGGGGAATGGTAAAATGATATATTAGTTAGTTTTCTGGTGCTGTGACAAAATACCATGACCAAAACAACCTATGGAAGACAGAGTTTATTTTGGTTCACGGTTCTGGAGAGACAGAGCCCATAATGGTGAGGAAGGCATGTCAGCAGGCAGCTGGAGCAGGAAGTTCCTTATTCAGACACAGGAAGCAGAGAGAGCAAGCAACAAGTAGGGCAAGGCTATTAACCTCCAATGGTCACTTCCAGTTACTTCATTCCTCCAGAATGGCTCCATCACATTTCCTGAAACCCAGGAGGTTGGTCCTGAACTCTCAAGCACTAATCCTGTCCCAGCCTTCCGAGTTGCTAGAATGACAGGCATGTGCCACTGTAACACTTCCTAGCAGCAGCAACCAACTGGAGACCAAGTGTCAAATATAGAGGACATTTCTCATTCAAATCATCATAAGGGCAAGTAAAGAATACTTCAAGTAGTGAGACTGTAATGACCAAATGT